GCTATTCTTTTTAGAGTTATTGTCTCATTCCCTAGTCTGGTGTCTATTCGCCTGGAGCAGCAGAGGAAAGGGACCCAGAAGTCAGAGAAATAACTTGATTAAAGGTCTAACTACCCACCATGAACTGCGGCCTTCTTAGCCATCAGGCTGGAAGAACTGGATGGTGTCCAGCTACTTTTACAGAATGTTCAGTTCAAGGAATTCATAGACAAATCCTGATCAAAATGGGGAAAGAAGGGGGGGGCAGAATTTCAAATGCCAACAGAATCTAGACTTACTAGACTGTGGGGAACCCATGAATCTATTCCTTGGAGAAAATCTTCAATTTATGAACTACAATTATCCTTTGAAGTCATCTTTAAGAAATGATTAGTAAAGAACGTTCTCTGTGGGCATTGTAAATAATTATAGGTCGTTTCTGATTTATGATATAGTAGAGTTACAACAAACTGCACTTAGGACTATCTTTTTTAACATCTTATGGTTAGTATTATATACTACATACAATTTTAGAATATATCTGTAACTTTAGATGTCATGTTTTCCACCCCCAAAGACAAATAATGATAGGTTTTATAAGGATACTATAATACAAGACAATGATAATGAACACTTTAAAGATGAGGTATTTGACTTTTGTTGGAACCCATTGACGAAGGTGTCAGCAGAATGGAACCCCATCATAAGATGGGGACTGCCTGCATATGAGCTCAAACTGAACAGTCACTAAGCCCCAGATGAGAAGGGTCAGAGAGACCAAGTCAACGGTGGCATAACAACCTGGTCAGAGAGAGTGCAATGGTGACACAATGTGAGGGATGCAGCACATGCCATTGGGTTGGGCCTGGACAAATAGGAGTGGGGGGGTGTTCTGCCGTGTGTATTTTCACTAAAACCAAAATGGCCACAACGACACATCCAGCCTTGTCACTTGTAGCTCTGTGAGCTTGGGGTGAGTTCCTTGAATCTCTTTGGGACTCAGTTTCCTCATCTAGAAAATGAGACGTGCAATACTACCTTAATCCATGCAAAGTGCTTAGAACACTGCTCGGCACATAAATGTTTAACAAATGTTCTCTTATGATCTGCCTCTGTGCCAGTTTCCCCTTCTCTCAACCTATTTTAAAACTTCAACCCTGCCAAGCTCCATCTCCCCCACCCCCTCCCCCATGAAGTCTTCTTAGCATTGCTCTTTTTCCTGACCTCTTTTACACCCATCAGTGAAAACAGAACAGAGCCATTTTAAGAGCAAGGATTGAGATATGAATATCACTGACTAAATGAATCACAGAATAACATGTAGCCACGTTCACCACCCCCTTTAGGGCAGTGGCAAATGTTTTGCTTAGATCCCACAATAAGGAACATATTTTGCAGCATGGCCTCATCTATCTATCTATCTATCTATCTATCTATCTATCTATCTATCTATCTATCTATCTATCTATCTATGTATCTGTCTGTCTTTTGATAGACACATAGATATAACATAAGCTTCACAGAACAACGCATACCCTTAAATAGGTAATTTACTTTATTCTTTGCTACTCATTTATTAATTTCTTCTCACCCCCTACATTGATTTCGATCCTTGCCAATGGTTGGGTCCCACAGTTGGGAAAATGCTATGTCAAGAAAGATCCTGCATCTACCCTCGTTTTTGATAATCTCTTGTGGCTCGGTGTGTAAAGCACCTGGCTGCTAATCAAAAAGCCAAGTAGTTCAAATCCGCCAGCTGCTGCATGGGAGAAAGCTAAGACTGTCTGCTCCCATAAAGACCGGTGGTCTCAGACCCTTATGGAGCTGTTCTGCTCTGTCTAATAGGATTGTGGGGAGTCGGAATTCACTCGATGGCTGTGGGTTTGGCTTTTCAGTTATGGAAGGCATGCGTAAGAACTTCAGAGGCTCTCAACCCTGAGAAGATTGGAGGTGAGGGACTTTCTGATTTTAGATGGAGTCAAGGTGGGTTACAATTGGTAGTAGTGTGAAGGGCCACTGATGGGGGGGTGTGCATAATATTGAAGAACCTCGCTGCGCCAAGGAGATGAAGGGCTTTGACTGCCACATAGAGGAATCTGCACATTTCCTACTGGGCATCAGTGGACGTTTTTAAGTAGAGGAGGGCCATGCTCAGTTCTTTGTTTTGGAAAGACTCCCCAGCACAGCTGCAGATGGATTGGAAAGGTCAAGTAAAGGGCAGTAGAACCTGTCAGAAGGCTGCTTCAGGTATCAAAGTAAGAGGATGAATATGGCTTTGAATGAAGACATAGCTGGGACTGTAGAGAGGACAGAGGACACATAGTGAAGAATAAAATCAATTTGATTTGATGGCAGATATTTCCACCTTGAGTGACTGGGCCAACACAATGCTGTTATTGAGAAAGGGACAGCGGAGGTTTGTAAGGCAGAAAAACAATTCAACTCGGGCCTGCTTTGGCAATACCTACCTGAACCACTTGAGCCTGGAGATTTAGCTGTCCTTATTTCACGCCTTCCATAAACATTTGTGGGACTGACATAGAAGAGCAAATATTTTATTTGACCAAGGAAGAACATGAAAGAAATAACATAGCATCCATCATCACCACCATTGAAAAAAATTAAAGAAGATTTTTTTTACCACCTAAAGGATAGGTCGGATCTTGGCATGAAGGCCCTTAACAACGCAATGTATTTCGAGTCTCAAAAAAGTATACTATTGGTATTCACCTCATTTTGTGGCGAATCACTGGAAATTTTGCCATCGATCAGCCTCATTGGGCAGACAGTCGCTTGAGAGCCATTGACTTGAGGTATGGGCAGAGGAAGAGGACAACAAAAGAGACTAAGAGAGATTCTGAATTGAGAATTTGGCCTATAGCGTTTTGGGCACCCAGAGTTCAAAGAGATCACTGAATTTGGCAAGTAGGAGGTCATGGGTGACCTTCAGCAGTGCCCTTAGTTAGTTGGGATGTGGCTGGGAAATTAGGAAAAGTCTGCTTGAAGCAAGTTGTGGGTCCAGGCATGAAATGAGAGAAGGAGGAAGAAGAAGAAGAAGAAGAAGAAGAAGAAGAAGAAGAAGAAGAAGAAGAAGAAGAACTAAGAAAGAAAGAAAGGAATGAGGGCTAGGTAGGGGCCCCGAGAGAACCCACCTGGAGAGGGAATGTGCTTGTTGTAATGGATAACAGAAGCAGGCATTTTACTAGCAGGCAAGAAAGAGCTGGTGTAGATAAGCTGGTCTTTCCTGAGGCCACAAAGCATAACATCTGCAGGAAGCACGCTGAGGAGGAGGGTGGATGAGGCCAAGGCCCAGGCAGAGCAGTTAGCCTTTAACGAGAGAGGCACCTTGTCCCCTGAAAAGGGAGGGCAAGATCCTAAGTTGGAGAGGCAGTCCAATTTGGGGAGGTGGGGCAGGGCACTGAGGTAATTCATGCTTGAAGGCCTCTGTTTTCTCAGGGAAGTAGGAGGAGAGGTTGTTCTGTGTGGGGAGAGGGTGGGGCAGGGCCGTGGTAGGGAGTTGAAGGAAGTTTGGAATGTGGCCCAGGGAAATATGGAGACAGGAGCTGGGCAGTGGACAAGGGCACATGCTCAAGGATCACTGGGAGGCACAGGCACCCCATTGAAGTCAACTGAACCTGTCTGCCTCCGTACAAGTCTTGCCAACCTCTTTAGGCTGTCAGCACCCCATGGAGTCAAGCTCTACAGAACTGCCTTCCCTCTAGCCCACTTCTTGCTAGGCCATACCAAACAGTGTCTGGCTCAGGAGAGGCACCCAAGGGTCTGCCAAAGCCATCGCTGACCAAATGTGGGCACATGCCAGGCTGTTAGAGGACACGGAGCTAGAGCCAGAATGATCCTGAGCGGAAGAACCACTGACTTGAGGTAAGGGCAGAGGAAGAGGATAGCAAAGGAGACCAAGGGGAGAGTTTCTGGATTGAGAACTTGGTCAACAGTCTCTTTTGTCTTCTGCTTTTTGTCTTCAGGAAAGATCAGCTTATTTATACCAGTTCTTTCTTGCCTGCTCATAAAATGCCCACTTCGGTTATCCATTCAAATAAGCACATTCCTTCTAAAGACCTTTCCTGAGACTTTGCTGGCTACCTTCTTCCCACTCTGTGCTAAGTTCCAAGGAACAAAGGCAACCCCCCGTTTTTTGCTTTGCAACAGGTGTGGATCTTAAGCCCGTAGACTGAGGGTGATGTGCCCCAGAAGAAGGGCTAGTGGCTTCCTCTGCCACTCCTGTGACAGTCTCAGAGATCCACAGGGACAGTTCTACTCTTGTCCCATAGGGTCACTGTGAGTCAGTGTTGACTTGATGGGTGGGAAGTTGATTTGGGGGTTGGAGTTTATATAGTGCCACCAGGAGTCATAATTCACTCGTTGGCAATAGGTTTGGTTTGGTTTTGAAGTGGGGGAGCCATCTTAGAATTCTAGCCATCAAGAGAAATCTTGGCCTTTTGTCCTCACCCCAGTGATCTGCTGAATGACGGTTCTGCAGGTATAAAATCCCCCTGGAAAAACTATTGGGGGCTTGAGCTGAGATAACCCGTGAGTCTCATTCTCTGACATGGCAGCTGTCCCTTCAGAGATATGTCTGTCTATCCAGCCTTCTGTCCCTGAAGAGTTTTTGTGGGTTTTGGGTGCTAATGAGCTCCCCTCCTCTCCCCACTCCAGCCTTGCTACTTCCTGGGGGACTCACACAAATGGTGTCTGGTTTGTCCCTTCAGTGTTTTCCTTTCTGACTTGGAGGTAAAGAAAGCCCCTCGCCCCCCCACCGACACCTTGTTTATTCAACTGGGAGAGATTTTACACCCAGGAGCCCAACTAGTCCTCCCGGAGCGCCTTCCCTAAATTTTCATTCCCCTCCCAGAACATGCCCACCCCCACCCTCGCCTTGCTGAATAATTTATGAGTCCAGTCAGGCCTTATAAAAGGGTCTCCCAGGAAAGCCAAAAGATTGCAGAAGGCTCTGAGAAACAGAAGACCCCACAGCCTGCCTGCCCTTAGCACCCGCTGTGAGGATGGACCCCGCTGCTGCTGCTGCTGCTGCTGCTGCTGCTGCTGCTGCTGCGTCTGCCTTGCCCCTGGCCCTACTTCAGGCCCAGCTGCCATTCCCTGGTCAGTTAAGCCCATTGCCCCTTTTCTCTGGACAAGAAATACAAGGGGCTGAAAGGTAAGTGGAATTTGGTCTTTGGCAACCTGAACTCAGGCTGGTTGAGTTCCTTGGAGAAGAAGGAAAATGAGGTTGTCCAAGATGCCCCTGTTTTCTAGGAAGGGCAAAATCCAGAGAGTCACCACCACCACCCCACCCCCCACCCCCGCCCTCATGTCTGGTTGGAAGATCTCATCTGGCTTGCCCCTCACTAATCCCTCTGGGTGGCAGGCGGGGACTTGTGGCCTTGAGGAGCACTGCCAAAGATGAAGGTCAAGCAGCCAGCTCCTTTGGGGTCAGGTGGCTTATTCTCTGAGGGGTAGAGAGGATAGAGTTGTCAAACTTGGGTGTAACAGTTACCTAGATTTCTATTCCCGTAAAGAGTTATGGTCTCAGAAACCCTCAGGGGCAGTTGTACCCTGAACTGTCAGGTCACTAGTTATTTGTCAGCATTAACTGGATGGCAAAGAGTGAGTGAGATTTCTCCAAAACAAATAAATAAACAGCTCCCCACACACACCACCAAAATCACTGCCATCGAGTCGAAGTTGCCTCATATCAACCCTGTAGAGCAGAATAGAACTGCCCCTGTGAGTTTCTGAGACTATAAATGTTTATGAGAGTAGAAAGCCCCATCTTGGTTTCAAACTGCCCACCTTGCAGATCTCAGTCCAATGGATAACCAGTACCAGGACTCTGGTGAGTGAGATTTCAGAAAGGGGCTGGGGTGGGGGAAGAGGGCCAAAGTCCCAAGAGATGTTGACTGGCCACTGTCTCTTTTCTGACCACAACGGAAGATTTCCATTTGCGGGTTTTGTTTGTTTGACCTCTGGAGGTCTAGTGGGGAAGCAGTGGGACCAGGAATATTTTTGGCCCGTTTTCCCAGTCTAGGGAGATGGTAGGGCTCTAAGCTCTGCTCCCTGGAGGAGAAAGCAGTGGAGAGAGGAGGCATGGTGTTTATCTACCCCGCCTCAATTGACTTAAACCTACTGAACAAACTATGGGCCATGTGCTAGGTGTTGGGACATCAGATAAACTCTCTGCCTGTAAAAAGCTCAAAGGCAAGTCAACACTCACAAAATAGAAGGCTGATGATCTGGCTGTTGAAGCAGAGAAGAGGGGAACTTGTCTACTTGGCCTTGGGGATACGAGGAAAGACTTCTTGTATCAGATGGTACCTGAGCCAAGTTTTCTGGAGACTTCTTTTTTTTTAATAAACAATTTTATTGGGACACAATCCAAATATCATACAATTTAATAGTTCCGTCTTGTCAATAAGTGTTGTACATTCACTACACCAATCGATTTTAGAACATTCTCTTCCTTCCTTTACTCCTTGCTCTCAGCTCCCCATTCCTCCCCCCACCTTCCCCTGCCGTACCCCCAATTACTGTCTCTATAGATTCCCCCATCTTGGGTTTCATATACTGAAAAAAAAGAGAAATACAAAACAAAGAGTCCAAAAGACCACCAACAATAACCAAAAAACAAACAAAAACAGAAACAAAAAAAAAAACAGAGAAAGAAAACGGAAAACATTACAAACACGATAAGGTGCTAGATGCTGAACCTGGTTCCATCTATCAGCACCCACTTGGTGGCAAGGCTTGTCACATGCCCGGTCTGTGTCCACAGGGGCTCCCTCTTTCACATTTCCCAGGCTCTTTCGTTTTGCTTTGAACTGTTAGTACTTTTAGATGTGTCCCAGAGGGGAACGAAGCAAAGGTTGCATGTTAATCTACTGTCATCTTTTGTTCCCTCTACTGACTGGGTTTTCCTGTTTGTCCTCGGAGAACCACTCTTTGGAGACCTTGGATGCCCTCCCCAAAGGATCCCCCAAGGCAGGTAAGGAAACTGATGGAATGCATGAGTTTGAACCTGGGCTTTGCACACAAGTGTCTGCGTCCACATGCTCCCAGATGAATCTTGACCTCCAGGCCAGGGCTTCAGATGGGGGGAAAGCCTCTTCACAGCCATCACCGTGCTTGATTTCGACATCGAGTTCTTGGAGGAGCGTAGACCTGAGGTTTCTGTGGCAATTTGGAAGACGAAGAGACTGAGACCCTATGGCGAAGGGATTTGGGCAAGGCTCCCCAGCTAGTCTGGGGTCGATCAAGTGCCAGAACCCTCGTCTCTTGGTCTTCTTGCTCCTGAATCTCTGCTGCTCCGGGAGGACTCTGTGGCCTGGACAGCCCCCAAAATCGGTTGGAACAGGGCAGAGGAAGTGAATCACCCCCAGGACTCTGTTAACTTTGTTTTCCAATTAGAACCAAGAGAGACCCCAGACACCTCCCCTCCCCTGTTCACAGGCCACTGCTGTCCTGTTGAGGTGGGGAGGGGTTGGAGCCCAGACTACTTTGAGATCGTTTTCCCTGCAGGTTTCTGATCGCTGCTCCTCGGGTGGAGGTAATTATCTGACCGTGTACTTTGAGCTATAACATACTCATTTTGCTTTGGGCAGGCTGCTGGTAGGGCTACAGCTGCCGAGGTCACTAAGGCTGAATCCAAATTCCATCACCCTGTCAGGTAAGCTGCTGGCACCAGGCTCAGAACTTGACATAAATTCATTAGTTCTTTTCATCTTCAAAACACTCCTGTGAAGCAGGAAGAGGGAGGCACGACTCTGCTCCATTGTTTTATAGCCAAGGAAAGGGAAGCCCAGAGGGGCTAGATGACTTGGTTTGGGGAAGTAGGCCTTCCCCAAAGGTGTTATTGTTAATGACCCCTAAGAATGAGGTCTTCTAGGCAGATCAGGGAAGAAAGGCTCAGTAGATAAAGGCCATGGCCACAGACCACTAGAGAGGTCTTGGCTAGAAGACCTCCGGGATGAGTGGGAGCTCCAAGGGGTCAGTGCCAGAATCGGTAGGTGCCTGCCGGGGCCCATTTTGTAACAATTCAGAAGGCTGCTACAAAGCTCGCCAGGAGCCCTGGTGGCTTAGTGGGTTATGTGTGGTCCTGCTAGCCGCAACATCAGCAATTCCAGCCTCCGGGTTGCTCGTCAGGGAAACAACGAGGTTTTCTGTGCCCAGAAAGCTTGACCGCCTCAGAGACCCACAGGGGCAGTTGTAGTCTGTCCTCTAGGGTCACTAGAAGTCAGAATTGGCTCAATGGCAGTGAACTTGGGTTTTGTTGTTGTTGTTGTTGTTGTCATTGTTAGACAAAGTTCTAGAGTTTCGGTCTTCCTTTTCCTCTAACCCCTTTCCTGCAACTAAAAGAAGGGGTTGGGAGCGGGCATCCTTCTTGGCCCCACTGGCCCCGTTGGCACAGATGAGGCATATCGAAGTCAGGGGCTCTTTCCTTCTCTGTCCACAGACTCTTCTGGCCCAAATCCCGCTCCTTTGACTACCTGTACGGTGATGGGCAGATTTTACTGCAGAGCCTCCCTGTCCAGGCAACCATCAACCTGTATGAGGACTCAGACAGTGAAGATGAGGAGCATGAGGAGGACGAAGAAGAAGAGAACGAGAAGACTGATGGAAAGGACTCAGAAGAGTGTGGGGCGGTACCATGCAGGGCTACAGATCTTCCCCTTTCCATGCCTCTACCCTGTTTAAACTGAACTGGGGTTCAGTACCTTTTGCAAAGCTCCTGTGGGTCATTGAGCTTGGAGTCTCTATACTAAAATTGGGGTTCTTGAGCTGTCCGCTCAGCTCACCCTGGCTTTTCCTACCTGTCCTGAGTCCAGGGCTCTGAGTATCTCATTGCGTGGGTTACTATTGTGTTGACAATGGGAGGGTCCTAGGAACTTTGGGGGAAGGGAAGAAAGACCTGTGTTTCCAAACCCCCGGGAAACAGAACAGAGTATGGTGATTACTTGGCGAGGAGATTAAAAAAGAAGAAGAAGAATTAGAATTAGAAGACGAAGACGAAGAAGAAGAAAATCTTTCCAGGCAGCACATAACCTTGTCTCCACACAGAAAGTTGATGTCTGGCTTGCCCCCAGGGCATCAACTCCAGCTCCTTGCAAAGCTTGGGGGTGCTTTTGGGCGGTCCCTTACAAGAAGGGAAGGGGACATGTGGTGAATCAGCCTGCTCCGGGGACCCCTTGATTTTTCCTGCTACTCACTGGGGCCTGCATGTTGGCATGAGATGAGTCACGAGAAAAATAAACTAGATGATGTTTGCCTTTTCCCCAAACTGATTTCTTAACTGAACTCTGCCCATGTTGTGAAGCCATGGGCTGAGGGTCAGAGACCAGCTCAAGGCCGATTCACTGTTGCTCCCTGGAGTCAGCGGACAGTTTTCTCCATGGAGACGCAGAGCTGGGCAGGGGCCAGGGGGGTCAGGCAGCATGGGGCCCAGGGCCTCTCTGTCAACTTGTGAAACCAGGTTTGACTGCATGCACTTCAAGGGCAGCATGGAAAGGGAGCCAAAAGGCCCCCAAGGGCAGCTTGGAAGCTGGGAGTTGGGCCAGGGGGAGGTATTGGGCCTGAGCTGTGATAAGGCCTCTAGGCACGGAGGAGGTAAAGTTGATAGGACTTAGTTTGACAGGGTCCCTAAAGGGATAGACAATGAGAGGTGCAGCTTCAGGGCAGCCTTGGAGATGAGTGTGTGCGTGGGAACTACTAAACCAAACCAAACCAAACTCACTGCCATCCAGTCCACGCCCACTCATCGTGACCCTCTAGGACAGGGTAGAACTGCCCCAGGAAGTTTTCCAGACCAAAACTGTTTATGGAATTGCTCTCAGAGGGGCTGGGGTTTCTAACTGACGACTTCGTGGAACACGACCCAAGGAGTAACCACTACAGCACCAGGTCTCCTTGGGGCACTACTATGTCCTATCCATTGTACCTCCTCAAGGTCTAGGGTCCCTATCCCGGCTCAGGCCTCATACCTACCCCTGTCCCAGTTGTTCTTTAACTACTTTTCTGGCCACCAGCATGTCCCTTTGTAATTCATCCTCCATACTGGCTGCCGTAACAAACAAGGTGCTGCCCCTGCTTACTATCCTCTAGTACAACACCAACAATTGTACTTTGTGAGTGTGTGTGTGTGTGTAGGGGGGGCGTGGATGGTGGCAGGGGGGTCGATCACGAATCCTCTTGAGAATCTGTGATTCCTCTCCCAAGAAAAACACATCTGTATATACACACATCAAACCAACCAACCAAACCCCAACCCCCAAACTCACTACCATCGAGTTGATGTTGACTCATAGCGACCCTATCGGGCGGGGTAGAACTGACCCTGTGAGTTTCCAAGACTAACTCTTGACAGGAGTAAAAAGCTTCATCTTTCTCCTGAGGAGCATCTGATAGTGAAAAGATATTCCCAGGTCTTCTTAAAGCAGTTCTTGGCAGAACCACCTCCCCCCTCACCCCCCATCTTAGCTCTGCTACAAATAGAGCAGAGCGACGGCATGTTGTTCAGAAGCAAAATGATGGTCATCTTCTCTGCTCTGTTTCCTCAAGTTGAGACAGGTAGCTACAGTCCTGAGTTGGATCTCGGCTCCAGCCCGGAGGGGGCCACCAAATTCACCCACTGGCACCATCTATTGGTCAAAATTGAAGATTTGTTCTTTAACTAAGGCTGTCAGGCCATTGACCGGTGGCCACTTTGCATTCCTTTATCTCAGTCTGTGAAAGACCCTGGGTGATTCAGTGAGTTACGAGTTGGGCTGCTAACCACAAGCTCAGTAGTTCGAATCCACCAGCTGTTCCGAGGGAGAACGATGTGGCTTTCTTCTTCCATAAACAGCGACAGTCTCAGAAATCATCAGGACCTGTTCTACTCTGTCTTCTAGGGCCACTAGCAGTTGGCATTGACTCGACCGAGGCAGTAAGTTTGGGTTTGAGTTTGATTTCTGAGTCAGTGTTTCTGCTTATAAGTAAAGTGGGCTTTATACTTTGCTAGCAAGTAGCTAACCCTGTCTGAGCCCCAGCTTGTTTGTTTGTAAAATGGGAATGATAATGCTGTGTCACAGCTGAGAGGCCTCGCGGGAATAACGCATGAAGCATTTAGCACTCAACAAATGGCCATTGTCGCTGTGGTCACAGCTGCCCTTATTGATTGGATAGCAGAAATGGGCTTACAGGTGACAGTCAACGAATGACTGATTTACTCCGCTGCCCCTGGGGACTTGGATTCTCTGGCATTGTTTGGGGGTTAACCAGCCAGAGTGTCTCTGCCAGTGTTTGTCCCCATTCAGAGAAAAGACAAACTAAATAGAGGCAGTCTGTGATTTCCTGCACCCCACTCACTATTCAGAGGTTTCATGCCCATCTTTCCTAAAACAGAGGTGGTGTTAAAAACTGGTGGTGGGGAAAACCAACAAACAAACAAACAAGCTGGTGGGGTGGGGGGAGGTGGCAGGCAGGGCAGGTTTGCTTCAGTAAGAATACTCCTCTTTTGCATGAAATGAATGCAGAAGCTCAATATGGAAATCTAATTTGAAATTAGCATTTCCCTGGGGAAGCAAGGAATACAAGGAGGACCCTTTCTCCTGTAAACGGACTCTCTCCCACCCTTCCTGTCAGGCCCCTTTGGAGAGCCCTCAGTTGAGGGAAAGAGTTGGAAAACCACTGTCCCAAGGGTTAAATGAAGACTTATTTGAGGTCGGAGGGAGCTGAGCTTTGTAACATGGGCCTGTATTCCATTTAAAACCCTTGGTTTGGGGGTCCTAAGATCTTAGCAGTTCTTAGCTCACAAACTGCTTTGAGTCCTCCCTGGAATTAAATGACACCGAATTGCACATCTTAAGTTCCCAGAGGTTTTAAGATGCTAAAACTCTGAAGTCAGGATCCACTTTTCTGGCACGACCCTGACTCACACGCACTGCTGCTGACAGGGGAGACATCTCGTTTTCCTTTCCTCCCAGGCTCCTGCCCTGAAATGGCTTCCAGTCTTCCTTCTCAAACACGGTTGCTAAGTGACTGGAATTCACTGTGGGGGCCAATCAGGGCCCAGGAAGACTTATTTTGTTATGAATTTATCCAGCCCGTGCAGCAATTTAAACCCCAGTGCACAAACCCCAGAGCCAATCACAGCAAAACTCAAAGTCCTCGCTCGGGCTCCACCCAGGATGACTCATTCTAGGCTTCAAATTTTTCCAGGCCCAGCACTGCTGCCCACCCCCCACCCCAACACACACCCTCTAGTAACAAGGAGGGATCATACGGATGGAGGATGAGGTTGCATTTGAGAAAGAGGCAGGAGTAGGAATCCTACCTTGTTTCAGGCATTCATATAATATAATAAGCATTGAAAGCATGGGTTTGGGAGACAGATGCACCAGGGTTCAAACCCCATCTCAGCCACATATGGGTTCTACCCATAGACCCACACCCTTCCTGTATTAAAGCTCCCTCCGCCCTGCCTGGCCTCCTTTGCAGTTCATTATTGTGTCTCGAAGGAGCCCTGAGGGGGTAAGTGGGTGATGTGTTGGATGTCTAACCGCAAGGTTACCATCTCTAACCCACAAGCTACTCCTCAGGAGAAAGCAGAGGCTTTCTGCGCCCGTAAAGCTTTCCAGCCGCGGAGACTCCCAAGAGCGGTTCTACTCCCTCTTGTCTGGTTGCTACGCATCCGAATAGGCTCAGCAGCAGTGAGGCTGGGTGTGGGGTCTTGTGTCCCACACACAGAGGGGCCCTGGTGGCGTAGTCGTTCCTCGTTGAACTGCTCCCCAGCCTGTCCGTGGGAGAAAGATGGGACCCGGTGCCCCTGGAAACAGTGACCGTCTCAGAAACCCACAGGAGCAGTTCTACCCTGTCTGTCAGGGTCACTATGAGTCAGCATCGATTCAAGTACAGTGAGCTTTTGTGTGTGTTGCTTTCTAGGGTCTCTGAGTTGGAATGGACTCCGTGGCTGTGAGCTCAGTTCTGCTTGCCCAGGAACCATACACGAGTTAGCTCCTGCCATCCAAGTACAAGCCAGACATGACCTTGCTTAGCTTCTCAGATATGAGATTGGGCAAGTTCAGGATGGTATGCGGGGAGATGGTTTCACTCCTTTAACACCACTCTGTGGGATAGGTGCAGTTAGGGAAACTGAGGCTTGGCATGATTAAAAGCAAAACAAAAAACTTGCCCCAAATGATGTCGTTTACAAGTTTGCCTTGTAAGTGCCAGGTACTTTATATACATTAATCCATTTATCCTTACACTAAATTCTGAACTTTAAAACATAAGTACTATTGTTATATATGAGAAAACTGAGGTCCAGGCAGCTGTTCGATGCCACACAGTAGGTGGCTGAGCCACGGTTTGAGAGATGACAATAGTGGATGGTGAACCAGGAGCCCAGTCTGATCCCAGGGCCCGGGAAGCACAGGCCTTGGTGCAGGCTTCGAGCTGAGGGAGCGTGGGCGAGAAAGGAGCTCTATTCCAGCAGGAGGGAAGTCAGTCCAAGGTTCGGAGGAACATCTGGCCAGGAAGAGAGGGGTATGATCAAAAGTGTCGAGGGTGGGCCTTTGGGGGGGGGCATCTCCCTGATATTGGCAGGCTCTCACAGACCAGGGCTGCAGGCAGGAAACTTCCAGAGGTGAATCCAGTGAGAGGCTTTGGCTCCCTTCCATTGGGAGGGGCCACCTCGGATTGGATTGGTTTTCTGTGGCTGGAAAGTCTGGTCCCAATGGGAGGAACTGCTGAGGTCGTCTATGATGTACCAAGTACTGTGACAAGCGCGGCACCTGCTTTCATTTGATAGCACCTGGTGAGCCCCCGCAGGGTAGTGGGCGGAACCTTCATGTTTAGAGATAGGAAACTGAGGCTCGGAGAGGCGAAGTGACGGTTAGTTAGATGGCCACGGTCCCACGGATAGTCAGTGAGGAAGCTGGGGAGAACCCAAACAGGGTAACTACCCAGTCCTGGCTTGCAACTAAAAGGCTTGTTCTACTCTCCTACCCAGGCCAGCCCCAGCCCTCAGGGGACGTCTTCAAAGTCGGGTCAGGCAGGAAGCTCTCTGACCTCCTGTGTCCTACAGGTAGGGCAAGTGTGCAAACTGTTATATAAAAGCACTTCTGTGCCTACACCTTAGGGACTCCTGGTGACGGTGTGAGTTACACATTGGGCTGCTAACCACAAGGTCGATAGTTCAAAACCACTAGCTACTTCTCAGGAGAAAAACAAGGTTTTCTACTCCTGTCAAAGATTACAATCACAGAGACCCACACGGGCAGTTCTTCCCTGTC